ATATGCACTCAGAGTAACATCACAAGCATCATGGGTACCATTCTTGTACTAGGAATCTTAAAAAAGCATGTATATTTCCTACGTAATATGCGTATATTAACACATACAGTTCTTGAATATAGTCTTCAATGCCAAAGGTTGCCTATTATAAGGTGGAAGTTAACAGAACTAATTGTCATGTGTGTGATGGCAGTGAATCTCACTGAATTCGTAACTAAAAATTCTAAAATGTCAGAAATTGTCAATTGAAAATCATTCACAGTATCTTACAGTATAGACAGTGTCTTGCGATTGCGATAAGGTTCATTCTTCAATTGTGATAATTTGTAAACGCTGTTTGACTTATTGAATGTCAGTCTTGATAACATGAGGACACTTCGGCAACCCCATATTTAATCTGTCCACGACTTTACTGACGTCATATTTCATAGCTGCTCGTCCTTTGCTAGCTGTAAAAATTGGTAGGCGATGTCTAGCGATGCCAAGTTTCTTATCACCTTCAGTGTAGAGCCGACCTATCTCTTCCATTGGTTTTCGGGCATGAAAGAGGGTTAGGCAAGCTCCAGTCCACAATAGCTCGCTTTACCAAAACATTGTTGCTTTGCCCTCCATTCGTTTTATGAGCACCGATGACACTGTAAAACCCCTCCACCACCGCCTCGCAGCCCCCAGCAGCCAATGCTATATCTAGGGCAATACACAATTCCTTTCCAAGCGAACCGTATATGCGTGCATTATTGTAAAATGCAGCAATAACATGATCCTCGCACAATCGCCCTTTCACTACTACACCAGAGGTGAAATGCAGCTCAAACCATTTGTCCAGAGAATCTTCGTCTATTGCGGACAAAACAGTTAAGTTGCTCTGTTTGAACTCCAGGATGGATTTCCCTTCATGATCAGCAAACATGGAATCTGTGCAGTTTCCCATACCTTCCCAGAGAATCTTCTTCAAGGTTGTTTTGAATTTTTTCAGTGTGGTTAAGCTGTCGTGTGGCAAGAGATCCAAACTATGGTCTTCATCTGCAAGTGCTCGCACATGAGGCATAACACAGACATGCTGGTAGAATTCACTGAATTTGCCGTTTCCCATTCAATTCGATCTTGGCGAGATATCACCAACTTGCCTCCGCGACATTAAACTTGCACAGTTGTTCGACTATATGCTCAAGGTCAAAGACTTTGCCAAGTTTCTTTACTGGGATTTTGTCGAATTGAGATGTAAGACCTACTCGAAGTTCTTGGCATAGTGTAACAAGATCTCGAGTACATTAATTTGCCTTTCGAGCATTCCAAGTATACGTATAGTATTGAGCAAGTTAGTGAAAGATACAAAAGCGAAACATTTCGAAACATTTCGTACAAATCTCGCGTGGTTTAGCAACAGGGACTTGGCAGGGGGAGGGATAGAGACTTGAAAAATGAAAGGAAAGCCCACACAGTATCCAACAATCAACAATTAATTTGTATGACTTTTTCATATTAATAAATACTAATATGTACATATTTGTCGCTACAGGAAATAAAACAAACGTTTGTATGATTGTATTTAGCTTTTAGTCTATTTCACGCAGCGTTCTTCTACCTTCGTGAAATAGTTCACCCCCTCCTGTCACGTCCCTGTTACTTTGTCACGCGATATTTGTACGGAATGTTTTGAAAGACTCGTGAGCAAAATTTTACAGGGTGATAAAATGGCGCATTTCTTATATGTTGTTTAGATTTTTTAGTTTCCTACCGCTATAAAGGGTTAAATTTATTATTAGTGGAATGGAAATGGCTTGGATGGAAGAGTAACAAGGCCGAATTGTTGACAACCGACATGGGATGACAAAATGGCCAAAATGGACAAAGTTGTGGATTTACCTTGTCGATGGTTAAACAGGTATGATCTACTTGAAACCAAGTTGAAACTTGTTTAAAATGTTCTTGATACCATTATGTCTGAGATAATTTCCATTTTTTGTAGGATGTCGATGAGATCGCCGATAAACAGCGGAGTAAAGTGGAGAACTTGGCCAAATATGTCCATTTGCAGGAGGTAGGCACATTTCAAATTATTATTTCGGTCAGAAAATATTAACTATTTTACACCAAACCAGTGATAATATATTTAAATAAGTACCAATTATGTTTCTGTCAAAAAGATTTAGGGAAAAAGGTAATGTAAGGATCCAAAATCTATGTGGATCCTTATTAAAAAATAAGGATCCAAAATCTATGTGGAAAACTATCAATCAATTAACAAACAAGAAATCGAAAACAACTAAAATTAATGAACTGATAATTGATCAGAAAGTTACAACAAATCCAGATGAAATAGCAGAAGGTATGAATAAATATTTCAATGATATTGGAACCATTTTGGCTGATAATCTCTCAAATGGGCATAATAGTTTTGAGGCGTATGTCAACCCTACTGAAACTACATTTGAAATTCAAAACATTTCTGTAGTGGAGGTAAAAAGTGAAATTTCAAGAATTAAAACTTCCAAAGCTACTGGACAAGATCGTATATCACCAAAACTTTTGAAAGATAGTGTGGAAGTAGTTGCCGAATCCCTCACAAATATTTTCAATAAATCCATTGAAAAAGGCGTATTTCCTGATGACCTTAAAATGGCATGCATATCTCCTATACATAAAGGGGATTGGAAAGGTAGATTGTTGTAACTACAGACCAATATCTATTATATCTGTAGTAGCTAAAGTGTTTGAAAAGCTTATCTCCAGGCAACTCAATGGGTATTTGGAGTCAACCACTTGCTGTCAGACAGTCAAACTGGCTTTAGGAAAAAGAGTTCGACTACAACTTCCCTTTTGAATAATACGAACAAATGGTACATCAATATGGATAATGGTCTTTTAAACGGAATTATTTTTCTCGATCTAAAAAAAGCTTTCGACTGTGTCGACCATGATATTTTCATAAAAAAATTGTCTTACTTTGGCTGTAAAGGAACCTCTTTAAATTGGTTTAAATCATATTTAACAAATAGAAAACAAATGTGTAAAGTAAATCAAGTGACATCCCAACCTCGAATAATTCGTTGTGGTGTACCACAAGGTTCAAATTTAGGCCCAATATTGTTTCTTATTTTTGTATCTTGCTTGTTTGGGTATTAGAGACCTCTAGCATATATGCTACTCGCACTAGTTGTAATCAAAGACTAATTTATTGATAGAATTAAGTAAATATATATATAAGCATTGACAGGCAATTAGGATATATGACATGGGTGTGTGTGTGAAAGGTTAAGCCTGGAATGAATTAAGTACAGAATACAACATTCCTCCCCTGTTTAGTAACTTGCTAGGTTGAACTATATATATTTGATTCCTATTGCTGATTGTTCGTAATTTGAATTTCGTACCATTGT